CACTGACGCCCTCTGGCTTCGCCTTTCCCCTCCTCCCATCCCTCACCCTCGACCTCCTCATTGTGTATCACCCTCACCCCTGGTCCTCCTCCTCCTCCTCCTCCTGCTGCTGGTGCTGCTCCGTTCGTTCTCCTTATAGATAACTCCTCCCTGTCGCACCCCGAGGCCAAGTTTAGGGCGGGCTGGGCGTTTCGCCTGAGACTTCCTCACCATTTATGACTCTGAAGCTTAAAAACTGACAACCGTTTCACAGATGGAGGGCGGACGGTTTTCAAAATGTGGCTCTCGCCTTAGCGCCGCGCACATTCGTTCTAAAGAATTGCACGAGCTTCACGGATTGAGGGCGGGTGGTTTTCAAAATGTGGCTCTCGCCTTAGCGACGCGCACAGTCGTTTTAAAATGTTGCAAGGAGTTTCACGGTTTGAAGGCGGGTGGTTTTCAAAATGTGGCTCTCGCCTTGGCGCCGCGCACATTCGCTTCGTTTTAAACATGATCGACCCACGAACCCGGAAAGGAATATAGAAATGTAACGCATGGCAACGTTTTCAAAGACACCTGATTGGGTGGCGGGCAAGTGCAATGCTGATTATATCGATCTTGATGTACCGTGCCGAGGGCTGTGCTGTGCTGCGCCGTGCTGAATTGCGATGTGCCATGGCGCGATTGTGCTAGCCTCGTGGATCGAGTCCTCCTTTGCATCCGAGTCCTGACCGAACTGATCTGGATCTGAAGCTCGAGCTGCCTGAACACATAGTCACATAGAAGCTGCCCCAGAGCTAATGGACAGGGGGACATGCCAGAGCGAGGATCGCGCCGCGAATACGTCCCAAGGGATACCCTGGGTACTGCGCCCAGGCGACGTGCCAGGAGGGGGGGGACATGCCACTGGGGGTTCGCAACCGCGGGGATCGTTGCCCAAGGGGACGCGCTACGGAAGGCCAATGGACTTGTGCCACGGGATTGTGCCACGGGACGCGCCACGCGACGTGCCAGGGGACTCGCCAAGGGAAACCCCACACGGAACGTGCCAAGGAAAAAACGTGCAAATTGCAATGCTGATTGTATCGATCTTGATGTACCGTGCCGAGAGCTGTGCTGTGCTGCACCGTGCTGAATTGCGATGTGCCATGCCGCGGTTGTGCTCTATAGCGTCGTGGATCGAGTCTTCCTTTGCATCCGAGTCCTGACCGAAATGATCTGGATCTGAAGCTCGAGCTGCCTGAACACATAGTAGCTGCCCTAGAGCTAATGGACAGGGGGACATGCCAGGAGGACGCGTCGCGAAACGTCCCAAGGGACGCGCCAGGCGACGTGCCAGGGGACGTGCCATGGGGACGTGCCATGGGGTCGCACCGTAGGACGTGCCAAGGGGACGCGCTACGGAACGTGCCAATGGATGTGCCACGGAATGTGCCAGGGGACGCGCCACGCGACGTGCCAGGGGGACTCGCCAAGGGACGCCCCACGGAAAACGTTGCCAGCAAGAAAACGTGCCAAATTGCAATGCTGAGTGTATCGATCTTGATGTACCGTGCCGAGGGCTGTGCTGTGCTGCGCCGTGCTGAATTGCGATGTGCCATGGCGCGATTGTGCGCTATAGCCTCGTGGATCGAGTCCTCCTTTGCATCCGAGTCCTGACCGAACTGATCTGGATCTTAAGCTCGAGCTGCCTGAACACATAGTATCTGCCCCAGAGCTAATGGACTGGGGGACATGCCAGGAGGACCCAACGGCGCCCAAGCGAAACGTCCCAAGGGCATGCGCCAGGCGACGTGCCAGGGGACGTGCATGGGCGGTTGAACGCGGGACCAAGTGCCAACGGGGACGCGCCTACGGAACGTGCACATGGATTGTGCCACGGGATGTGCCAGGGGAACCGCACCACCACAATCACTGCGACGACCGTCGCGACGGCCCCAGAGCTAATGGACAGGGGACCATGCCAGGAGGACGCGCCGCGAAACGTCCCAAGGGATGCGCCAGGCGACGTGCCAGGGGACGCGCCATGGGGTCGCACCGTAGGACGTGCCAAAGGGACGCGCTACGGAACGTGCCAATGGAGGTGCCACGGAATGTGCCAGGGGACGCGCCACGCGACGTGCCAGGGGGACTCGCCAAGGGACGCCCCACGGAACGTGCCAAGCGAGCGTGACGTGAATCCTCTGAATTCCTGCGAGCGGGACGTGAAAACAAGCATTTCGCCTGAGACATCCTCTGAATTCTGGCCCCCCACGAGGCCCCCGCTCGAGACATCCCCCAATTTTGCAAAACCAGCGTTTCGCTCGAGACATCCTCAACAAATTATGAAAAACAAGCGTTTCGCTCGAGAAATCCTCTCAAAATCACAAGAAATCCTCGCCAAACAAACCAATTTGTCGAGACATCCTCAACATTCCTGCGCGCGGGACGCGGCACGCGCGAGACATCCTCTGAATTCCTGCGAGCGGGACGTGAAAACAAGCATTTCGCCTGAGACATCCTCTGAATTCTGGCACCCCACGAAACCCCCGCTCGAGACATTTTGCAAAACCAGCGTTTCGCTCGAGACATCCTCGACAAATTCTGAAAACAGCCAGAATCCAAAGAATTCCTGGCAAATCAAGCGAATTAGTCGAGGAACATCCTCAACAAATTATGAAAAACAAGCGTTTCGACTCGGAGAATTTACCGCCCGTGAAAAATCCAAAAGAATTTCGCCTAAACAAAAACGAATTAATTAAGCCCGAGACCATCCTTCAAAATTCCGCGCGCGGGGCGCGGGCACGCCCGCGCATGACGACAGCGGGAAATTCCTGAGCGCGATGATGTGGAAAACAAGCATTTCGCTTGAGACATCCTCTCAATTCTGGCCACCCACGAGGCTCCCGCTCGAGACATCCCCCAAATTTTGCAAAACCAGCGTTTCGCTCGAGACATCCTCAACAAATTCTGGAAAACAAGCGTTTCGCTCGAGATATCCTGCCAAAATCCAAAGAAATCCTGGCAAAACAAGCGAATTAGTCGAGACATCCTCGAAATTCCTGCGCGCGGGGCGCGGCACGCGCGATACATCCTCGGAATTCCTGCGCGCGGAGCGCTTTTCTGCGTCGCGGTCGGGGCTCCAGACCCCGTTATTTGTCGAGGATTCTGCGAAAAACGCTCCGCACCCTCTTTTTTACAAAGGAAAACGGGGGTCTGCGGACCCCGTTTTTTATCGAGGATCCGAGATGGGGGGCGCACTTTCCTCGAGCGGGCACGCACGAAACGCACTTTTTCAAAAAAAACAGCACTTTACCTCGTTATTTATCGCACAAAAATTCGCCGGCAAAAACCGGGGGGGTTCTTTAAACCTACTAAAAGCCCTTTCCGGGAAAAATTCAAGGGTTTCACGGATTGAGGGCGGTTCCTTTTCAAAATGCGGCTATCGCTTAGCGCCGCGCACATTCATTCGTTTTACAAAATTTCAAGAGTTTCACGGATTCCCATGATCAACGTACCAGCAATTGTGTTTTGGAAAGATTTAGGATTATGCGGGCGCAACAGTTATGTAGATTCGCTGTGTTGAAGTCCAAACAATTGCGTTCTGGCACGATTCTGGATCGTCAAGACGCAGCAGTCAGGTTGATACGTGGCGTTGAGATCCCGAGAACAATGTTTTGGCACGATTCAGGATCTTCAAACTGTTGTCTTCAAACCAGGCAGTTCCCTCAATGGAAATGAACCGTTATAAGGGCCTATGGAGAGGAAGCTTGGAGGAAGGGTTAATTCCAACATCGTTGATGACTCTTGGGTTTCCACTTAGCATCCTCCTCCTCCTCCTCCTCCTCCTCCTCCTCCTCCTCCTCCTCCTGGTCCTCCTGTTCCTCCTCCCCTTCCTCCTCTTACCCCTTCCCCCTTCTTGAGGAAATCAAGCGGTACCGATACCGCTACTCCCCCGACCTCTCCCGGGGTGCGTTCCGACCAGAATCTCGAGACGAATCCAGCAATGGTGACGAGGGCCACCCAGGAGGCCCAAAAGTTCGAAGACGAGGCATGGGCAGCGTATCGGTACCTCTTCCTCCTTCCCCCTTCATCCCCTTCCTTCCTCCGCCCTCCTCCCCACCCGCCCTCGCCGCCCAGGCGCGGTGCCGGGCAGTCGGCCACTCGCAAGTGATCCTGGGTAAGAGTGACCGTTGGTGCGCGGCTTTTTGGGGGCCGCGGGGGGACCAAACATAAGTGCGCAAGACGCTACCATCGCACCGCGCTCGACGGTCGGGGGGGGCCCGATGAGCCCGCACTGAAGGTCACTCCGGCGAAGGGTCACTCTTGCGTGCAGCCGAGGCAGGGCCCCCGTTTGCGGGCGCCCCGGGCGCGCCATTTGTGCCTCTCGTTCAGCGCCATGGCTGTCCCCACGAACGGCGGGGCGGCCGGGCCCCGGCTCCGTGGTCGCTCGGCCGCCGCCGAGAGCCAGGGCGTCCAGGAGCCACTTGAGGAGGAGGAGAGGAGGAGGAGGAGGAGGAGGAGGAGGAAGGAGGAGGAGGAGGAGGGAGGAGGAAGAGGAGATAGAGGAGGAGCAGGACAAGGAGGAGATAAGGAAGGAGGAGGAGGAGGAGGAGGAGGAGAAGGAGGGAGGAGGAGGAGGCGGATGACGTGAAGGAGGAGGAGGAGGAGGAGGAGGAGTGAGGAGGAGAGAGGAGAGAGGAGAGAGGGGGGGAGAGGGGAGAGGAGGAGGAGGAGGAGGAGGAAAAGGAGGATGAAGAAGTGTAGGCAGGAGGAGGAGGAGGAGGAGGAGGAGGAGGAGGAGGAGGGAGAAGGAGGAGGAGCTAGAGGAGGAGCAGGACGAGGAGGAGGTAAGGGAGGAGGAGGAGGAGGAGGAGGGAGGAGAAGGAGGCGGATGACGTGAAGGAGGAGGAGGAAAGAGGAGAGAGGGAGAGAGGAGGGAGAGGGGAGAGGGGAGGAGGAGGAGGAGGAGGACCGAAGTACATCGAAGATGCATAAGCAACGCTGCAGTGCACCGTCCAGTCCCAAGTCGGTTCCCCACGCATCCCTATGAACTTTCCTCTTGCTATAAGAAGATCCCCCTGAAACAAAAACAGCACCGCGCAAACCTGCCGTTGTTGTGAGGGCCCCATTTTGAAAAGGAAATGCCCTGCATCCTGCTGGATTATTATGAGGAGTGCCAAAAATATCACCATACAGCCTAAGGAAGTGTCCAGCGAGATCCCCTTCTCCGAAGAGGGCCGCCCCACCCCCACCTGTGCAACTGCTGCAGAAGTTCACATGGATTATCATGAAGTTGGGAAAGTCGCAGGCAGGAGCTTCACTTTGGAAACGAGCCGCCCAAGATCCATGAAGTGCTACACGTGCAGAAGCGAAGGGTCCCTGCATATAGCCTTCAAGCGATAACACATCTCTTATAAACAAAAAACGGCCATCCATCCTTCTCACAATTGCATCCGTCTGCAGCGAATGTTTGCGGTGCTGGAGCTAAAGCCCCATTTTGAGAACGGCAGTGTTCCCTCTTGCTGGTAGTGCTGCAAAATTGTGAAAGAATGTGCTTGGAACAAGGCGCAAGCCCTGCATCCGCGTAACGGCCACCGAATTCAAAACGAATGCGAGCGGTGCCTGGGGGACAGACCCATATACAGACGACTCCCCTCCATCCCTGAAGCTGCTGCAAACTTGCGAAAACGAATTTGCGCAGCGCTTGGGCCAAGACCCCTTTCTGAGAACGGTTTCCCCTTCATCCTTGAAACGGATGCACACTTGTTAACAAAAAAAGCGCGCACGGCGCTAAGGCGAAAGCCACACTTCTATATCTATATATATATATATATAAGGGGGAAACAAAAAAAAAAAAAAAAAAAAAAAAAAAAAAAAAAAAAAAAAAAAAAAAAAAAAAAAAAAAAAAAAAAAAAAAAAAAAAAAAAAAAAAAAAAAAAAAAAAAAAAAAAAAAAAAAAAAAAAAAAAAAAAAAAAAAAAAAAAAAAAAACGAATGTGCGAGGCTCTAAGGCGAGAAAACCATTTCGAAAACGATCCCACCACGCACACACACACACACTTATACACACACACACACACACACACACACACGCACACACACACACACACACACACGCACACACGCACACACGCACACACGCACACACGCATACACACACACACACTCACACACACACACACACACACACACACACGCGCACACACGCGCACACACACACACTTTTCAGCCGCAGCGCAGCAGAGGCAATGCGCACGCGCGTCTGTGCGAGACTGGGGCACACACACACACTTTTCCGGTCGTCCGCAGGCCGGCGCAACGCCACGCCGTCCAAAGAAGTCGCCGGCGCGCACGCGCCGGAAGACAAAGCAAGGAAGGAGCACGCCGGGCCCGCGGAGCGCCGAGGCGGCGGGTACAGAACTCACGCGATGCAAGGCCAGAGCCGGCCAAGGGAAAGAACGACCAGGGGACAGCGAGGCAAGGGAAAGGAGGACCAAGCAAAGAGAGGGAAAAGCGAGGAGCGAGGAGCGACAGCGGACAGCCGAGCGGGGAGACGGACGGGCACGAAAGACACGGGCCAACCAGTAGGGGAGGGGAAGCCCACACACACACACACACACACACGGGAAAGGCAAGGCCCTGAAAGAAGGAGCCAGCCGCGGAGGGGGGCGAGAGGGAAGAAGGAGACACACCACAAAGGCGGGAGGGGAGAATGAACGGGCCATTGGGCGGCCGAACCTCTACACACACACGCACACACAAGCGTACACACACACACACACACACACACACACATGTTTTTGGCGCCGCAGCCCCACGCGCAGCGACGGGCGTCCAAAGGTCGGAAAACAGGGCGTGCGCGCGCGTCTGAATAGCCAGCCGTAAATCATCACTGCATGGATCAGCGGGGGGTCAGAAGAGGTAAGCCGGTAACCGACCGGCATGGAAAGGACACACTGGGAGGGCAAAAGAGGGGGGAACACTGGAGACTACAGTGATACCATAGCCTGGCGACTGGCAGAAAGGCAGGACATGGCACAAGGAAGCCCAGGGACAGCAGTGGCGGCGTGGGCACCAAAAAGGCTGCCCCGAGGAGGTAGCAGCGCCAGCAATCCCGTACGTCGGCTGTGAACCGCACACACACACACACACACACACACACACACACACATACCCTTGAAACCGCTGCGGCATGCAAACATCAGGGTCGTTGTTGTGGGAACTCTTCGGCGAAACGTCCAGCCCGCCCTACAGATACGTCTGGGGGCGCGACAGGGAGGACATATTCATAAGGACACTGATGGGGGAGGAAGAGGAGGAGAAGGAAGAGGAGGAGGAGGAGGAGGAGCAGGAGGAGGGGCAGGGGACGGAGGAGGGAGGAGGGAGAAAGAGGTAGGAGGAGGGAGGGAAGGGGGCAGGTGGAGAATACATGGGGATGAAGAGGTGGGATGAGGAGAAGAACTCGGTGAGAGATGAAAGGGCCCGAATGGAAGGCAACGTTGACGGGCCAGTGCTGCCGCAGGGAGGTTTCGGGCCCCCCCGTGATGTTTCGTGTGGTACCAGCCCCCCAAGGATACCGGGCTCCTGTACTAAGATGTGCCACGTGCTATATCTTTCCCCGCCTCTTTTGCCGTGCTGTTGCCTCTGATGAATGTGGAATATGCGTAGCCCCAACTCGTAATGAAAGCAAGAAGAAAGGAAGGAAACAAGGGGGAGAAGCAGGGCGGAGGGCGGAGGAAAGAAGATGGCGGATTGGCATGCCCGCGAAGAGGCAGGGTCCGGGAAGAAGGAGCGCCTGTCAGGGAGGACGGGCGGGTGAGAGATAGCATGTGGGTTTCCCCACTCTCCACTCTGGTGTTTTTGTTGGTTCCTGTGTGTCCCCTTTTTTTCCCATATCATTGGCAATATGGCTGGGACACATCTGCCCCGATGTGGTTGACGCTGCTGCTGCGCGGTTGTGTGATGCATCAGTTTGTGATGCATCAGTTTGTGCTGTGTTGCCGTGTCTGTTACAAGAAATAATAAATTGCAGAAGCGTGCGAAATTGCGAGCCCACATGCCCAATACAGTGGTTGTGTAAGGTGCCTTTGGCACAAACTATGATGTTTCCCTGCGGACGCGTGACACGCTGACGCCCGCCCCAGATGGGCCGACTGAGACATGCCCCATCCCACAAAGTGGGAGAAATGTCAGAAGATGGCATGGACAAGTTTTGCCACAGATATCATCTTGCGGTTACGGTACTAACTTTCAGCGAGCCTCGGAGCGCTCAGCACAACGATGCGCGCCGGGGGCAACGGACCGCGTTTCCGCCCCCGCCCCCCCCCCCGTTCCCCCCCAACCCAAACCTGCGAGAGAGACGCGCGCAAGGCGGTCGGAGGCTGTCTGGGCGCATTGCGGAGAGTGGGAGGGGGCCAGCGCGAGGGGGGGGGGGGGGGGGCCAACGCGCGGGGAGGGTGGGGGCCTGCGCGTGGGGGGGGGGGGGGGGCCAACGCGCGGGGAGGCGGACTGGTTGGGCCACGGCGAACAGAAGCCCAGGCCACTGCAAAGCGCGACCCCGCGCCGACTGGCCCGGGCCAGGGCCGCCCGTCAAAGCAAAAGCCGGGGGGCGCCAACTACGCACGCGCGGCCCCGCGCCAACCGCAGTCCGCCCCCGGCCATTCTGCAAACGGCCCTGCCGCGCGCGAGCGTCTCTGCGCGGCCGCCAGCGGAGCGAATCACCAACCCACCCAGCGACCCCTGCCCACGGAAGGCCACGGGCAGCTGCTGGCTGCCCGGCAGAACGGGCGACCGCGGAAGCGTGAGCAGACAGCCTCTTCAGAAGGATGCGGCCGCGCTCCTTGAGACGCCGCCCGACCGGCCCGCCCGCCCCCAGCCCGACCCGCCAGGGGCGCACGCGCCCGATCGTCGGCGATTTCGCAAGCGATCGAAGCCGTTTCTCGGGGAAGGAAGCGCTCCGAGGCACGCGGGGGAAAAGCTGGGCCAGCTCATCGCGCCGCCGCGCGAGGGCGGACAGCACGCAGGCGAGGCTGCATGGGGGGGGGGGGGGGCCGGGAACACGCGCGCCCCTGCGACGGCGCCCTCGGGGCGCATGAGCGGCGCCGCAGCATGACAAGGCGCGCATCTGCGCGGCCCCATGTGACGCGCGCCCAGCCAGGCGCACGCCTCGCAGGAGAATTTCCAGATGCCCCGATCGGCAAACAAACATTAACGCACGCATCGGAAACTTCTTTCGACCATACGAAACCGATGCCAGCAGCTTCCCCATCGAAGAACACTGCGGCGACCGATGGAACGCACTCAAAGTGGGGAACCGAATACGCACCAATGGCGCCCGCGCAAATACGCGCGCATATTTCATCGCGCGCCGGGGGGCGAAAGAGGAACTTGGCCGCCGTCCTGCATGCCCGAGAAACTCTGACGGCTACTGGCCTCCACGCGCGGCGCGTCTTGTTCGGCGACGGCAATGCGCAACGCGCACACTTCCTGGAATTCAGCCCTGGACCCAGGCGCGCCCACGGCGCGCAGTCCAGCGCGCACAGAGCAGCGCAGGCGACGGCCACTGTGGACAGCCAACAGCCCCCCCCCTCCCCCAACCAGCGCCCACCCACATATCAGGCACAGGTGTCGACGTAGCTTTAGCCCCGCGCACAGCGCCCATAGCAGTCAACGCATCAAAAAACATCGCGGCGGCTTCGGACGACAAAATGGCCCTCGGCAGCTCCCCGCTGGATCGCACTCTTCGGCGCGATGCAGTTGTCGGCGGGGCCGCGGGGGCCTCTGCTGATGAATGGCACGCAGCGCTACAGACTGTCGCACCTGTCGAGGACATGCTCGCCGACGCCGCGGGCCCGCCACTGCCCGACGCGGCCCTGGCTGCGCCGATGCCAGGGGGCGAATCGTCGTTGAAAGTGCGACGCGGAGCCTTGGATTGCGCGGCTTGGCACCGCGGCGTCGCGACGGTCGCGGCCGGGCACGCTGCTGGGACAGTCAGGGTTGCAGCCCCACGGCAACGCGCGCCAAGGAGACAGGCGACCGGATCCGCCCCGGGAAACTTCGAAACGCCAGCGGAGGTCAGGCAAGCAACCGAAGAGGCAACGCGGGCCGCCCGCTGGATGACCTATCAGAAGTACGTCCACATCCGCAAGAACAAGGCGAGGCGAAGCGAGGCGCCGGTCGGTCGCCCTGAAGGACGGCGCTACAAGAGCCCAGCGGGGGCGCCGGAGCGCCGAGCGCCCAGCGCACGACGAACTGGCGACGCATGACTCGCCCAAGCGCGCACCAGAGATCACGCACAAGACGCGCCAGCTCGAACAAAAATCTGACATTGATCACAAATCACCCGTTTCGACACTATACATGTTGCAAAATGCTTCCCACATGACTGACCTCTGCATTGGATTGTACTCGGTCTCAAACTGCCCCCTGGTCAAAGTGATCATGCGATCGCGGGCGCACTCGAAATGCCCTGTCGCCGGCGCCGCGCACTGCTCGACAGGCCCCCGCGCACAGGATTGCCGAAGGGTGGCAAGGCAGGCCCAGCATCGCGAGCTCGTTTCAGATCGCGCGCTCGAGCGCATAATTGCTGGCATTCGCCAAGCTCTCCGCGAGCAGCCAGGCGGCGCTGATCTGCACGAGACATAGCCAATGGTTTCCTTAGCTCCAGCGCAGGACGACGCCGTGCCACGCAGCTGCGATTTGCGCGGCACCTCTCTGGTTCCCGCCTGACGGCCGACTCCGCGGTGCTCTCTGACGCGGCACAACGATCATAAGCATTGATATTATTGCGACGCAGATCGCAAGCATCGCAATATTCCACGCGAGATTGCGGAAAGGACCACCAAGCCTTGAAATTCGATCGAGACACACCATGCTAACATCACCCACGCCAACTGTTACATGCGTTTGTGAGCTGATCACGTTCATACTGGAGCTGACCATTCTCCATTTGCATATATACACATTGAGGAACTTGTTGTCTCTTGCATCGCGGGCCGCGGCACGACGCGAGAACGATACTGCTGTTGAGAAGGTACTTCGCAAGGGAGAAAGCCCACGGGCATGCCACACCCTCTGGCCATTAGCACGTTGGATTGCGGATTGGTGCCATGCGAGCTTGCCAAGAGCTTGATGACTCCCTTCCACAAGAGCGACCCGGGACGAGCGGAAAGCCCTCTCGTCCCGGCCCCGGGAATCCCCCCCTCCAGGTAGCCCTCGAAGGCTCGCTGACAGGCCGCGTCATGCCGCAGGAACGAGAGGTCCACACACCGAGGGATGACTCATTCACGTGGGAGCAGAAGAAACCTCCCGCAGAGTCAAGCCGACGCAGATGCCGTGGAACGTGAAATCCGAGCAATCAGGGAGACGAGTGCAATGCTGGAGCTGGACGACGCGCCCTCCACGACGATTGACACAGGCCCGCACAGCGCAGAGAAGATCACCCGAGCCATTTCCTGGCTGCGAGGGGGCAGAGGTGGCCTACGCTGCGCTGCAGCAGCCTTGGAGTCCCCCGTCTTCGCCGGCAGAAAGGTGACCGCATGCCTGGCCGAATCCCGTCACGCGTGCGTCGCGCCGTCATTGTGGCCGATGCGGAAATACTCTCCTAAGCACAATTCGGGACCGCGCATTGTTCGTTCCACCAGTAGTCTCCCGCCAATTGACACGTGCTCGGACTTGACTTCACCCAAATCCTTGACACAATATGGGTTGAGCGAAAGTTCCCATGTATCCGCGAGTATTGCGACGACATTCCGTTCGGTGGACTATCGGGCCCAATGTCGCTCGTTTTAACCGTTGTCCTGCTTGGAGAGGTCAGATCGTACCTTGACCTTGCCACTTATTCCCCAATTCTTAACCGGAAGTGGTGCTTCGGCGGAGCAGGCGACAAAGGTATGTTGCTGGGAACATTCCGGGCAGGAGTGCACGGGCGCGCCTGGCTTTGGCTCGACGACGTCATGCACCAGGAAACACAAGTCTTGGAATTCCACGGGCTTCTCTCCTCGACAATTTACTTCGGCGCGCGGTACGGCGCATGTGTGCTGATTTCTGTTCCAGCATTCAACGCCCTCCTCCGTGACCTGCGAGACGAGGCGCAGACGGCATCCCCTGGAACGGCGCGCGCGACGCCGCCGCCGCGGGCCCAGCCAGCCTCGGTGGAGGCCCACGCGAGATGCCCAGCCACGCCGCTGGCCGAGACCCCAGCCAGGCACGGAGTAATCCAAGCGAAGGCGCAGCAAGTGCGCAGGCGAGTGGCCCGCGCAGGGATGAACACTGGATGTCCTGGACGTGGCGGCAGCTTGCCCGTCGGCGGGGGCCACCAGAGCCATCCTGCACCAGTCTGTCCCCTCTGCCACGGTGACAAATGCCAAAAAACATAAGGCTGCCTTCAGGGGGCCTGGGAATTGAGAGCGCATGGCCTTGCAGGGCAGCGCCATGTTTGACTCGTCGGCCATGGGACGCACAGGATGCTAACAAATGACCCACGACGCGGAGCTGTCCTTGATCCCAAATTCGAAGTCCGTCCCGACCATGGGGCTCTTCTGATCTGATGAGCTCTACCGTGCAGCGGAGGCAGGCGGTAATCTAGTGGGAGTCTTGGCTGCTCAGGTGCTTGCGCGAGTTGCACCAACAGTATTGTCAGGCGCAGCTGCGGTTGCTGCACTGCCCAATATGGACCGATCTCGACACCTGACAGGACTCACAGGCGTACTGGGCCAGGGCAGCCTTGGGCTAATTACAGGCGGGGTCCCATGCTGAACTGAACCCTCTCACGACTCCAATGCCAGTGGTACCTGAGGCTGGACGCCCCTCACGTTCCAACAGGTGATTATAGCCCGCGCCAGGTTCTGGGTCCCCCCTGAGGGTTGACGCGCGCGCTCCACTACTCGCAAAAGTAACTACTCGCAAATGGCCTGGGTTCGCCGCGGGGGACTTACGATCCACTACGTCGAAGCAGATGTGTTTGGGGGACGTTTGCGAGTAAGCACTTTGCGAGTAGTGGAACGCGCTCGGTGAGAGGGAAATCCCGCGGCGGCGATGCTGGACGCCGCCCGTGCGTCGCCGGCGCCCTCCCTCCTGGCGGCGCGCGGCAGGCCAGATAGTGGCCAGGATCCCAAAAGAAAGCCTTCCGAACATCACCGCCCACGAGGACTTCCCAGAGGGGGTCGTTGCAGCTAGATATTCGCCAGCATCTCGGAAACCTTTGTTACGACGTCGCAAGACATTGGATTGCCTTCCTTGCGCGCCTGTGACCAGCCATCCGTGGATGCGGCGACAAGCCAGCCACCACCATGTCTGGAGCTTCCACTTCGCAGTTCGATGCAGCCCCAGCAGAGATGCACGCGGCAGGAGGTGCACGATGACCACGGAGGGAGCCTGTGCTGCAGGCTCTGAGAGGCATGCAGCGTGCCAGGCCGTGGGCCACTGCCAGTCCTGGGTGGGGAGGACGCACCACTGATGCTGCCCTGCTGCGGTGCGTGTCCCAGCCCTCCCAGCCCTGAAGGGGACGTCTCCCACGCGCTGCTCGCGTGCGGGCAGACCTCGGAGCTGCGCATCGAGCTCTGGACAGTCATCGGCGCTGGGGCCCCTACGACGAGGCAGGCGGCGCTCATGGCCCTCCTTGGCCCAGAAGCGAGCGCCGCCTGCATCGAATACTCGAGGCCTCCTAGATGTGGTCGGCATGGATGGGGTCGGAGAATCGCGCCGCCTCGCCGATACATCGGCGATGTATCGGCGATGCACCGGCGATGCAACGTCGACATCGGCGGTGCATCGGCGACGTCGACGTGGAGCAAATCGGGCTCCGCATCAAGCCGCATTGGCGATGCATCGGCGATGTGGCGCGATCCTCCGACCCCATCTACTCCGACCCGATCTAGGGGGCCTAGAAATACGTAGGCAGGGCGCTGGTGCGCTGTGCCGGGCGGCGCTGAGCGCCTGGCAGCGGCTAGCGGATGCAAGACTCTGGCCCGTGCCCTTGCCGAGCGCAACCCTCCCGCGCGCCCCCCCCGGGCGGAGCGCGAGCGAGCGCCACGGACGGGAGACCGAGAAGCCGAGAACCGAGGGAGAGGGGGGGGAAGAGGAGAAGGACGAACAAGGAACAAGGAGGAGAAGGAGGAGGAGGAGAGAGGAAGGAGAAGGGAAGGAGGGAGGGAGGGAGGGAGGGCCCTTCTGGTTGTCCCTGGGGCCCACCTGGCCCCCAAGACGCCCGCGCGACCACGGCCTCTGGCTCTCTGGGAGAGGAGGGGGGCGCCTGCTCCGGCCGAAGGACTGCTGCGGCGCGCGGGGGGGAAGGGGGAGGAGGAGAAGAAGGAGGAGGAGGCGCAGGAGGAGGAAGAGGAGGAGGAGGAGCGGGAGGAGGAAAAGAACGAGGACGAGGAGGAGGAGGAAGAGGAGGAGGAAGAGCGCAGGAGGAGGAGGAGGCGCAGTAGGAGGGAGAGGTAAGAGGAGGAGGAGGAGGAGGAGAAAAAGGAGGAGAAGGAGGAGGAGGAGGAGGAGGAGGGGGAGGAGGTGGAGGAGGAGGAGGAGGGGGGGGGGAAGGGAGGAGGAGGAGGAGAAGGAGGAGGAGGAAGAGGAGGAGGAGGAGGCGCAGGAGGAGGAGGAAGAGGAGGAACAGGAGGAGGAGGAGGCGGAGGAGAAGGAGGAAGAGGAGGAGGAGGAGGAGGAAGGGGAGGAGAAGGTGGAGCAGGAGGAGGAGCAGGAAGCGGAGGAAGAGGAGGAGGAGGACGACGACGAGAAGGGAGGAAGAGGAGGATCAGCAGGAGGAGGAGGAGGAGGAGCAGCAACAGCAGGTGAAGGCGGAGGACTTTAGAGACCCGTAAAGGGAAGTTGTAGGGGAGTAGGGGTGTAAGTATGTAAGGGTATAGGGGTCCAGGGGTGAGAGTCCAGGGAAGAGGAGGAGGAGGAGGAGGAGTTTAGACCCAAGATGCATCAACGATGTTACAATGAAACATCCCTCCAAGTTCCCTATTGGTAAGTTGGTAAGTCCCAACCAGAATGTATGTCCATCGAGGGACGTGGCCCATTCGAAGACTACCGTCTGAGAATCTCCAGTCGCACCCAAACAACATTCCTGGGACTTCAATCCCGCGGATTAACGTGACTGTTGCGTCCTGCCAATCCTAGACCGCGGTGGAACACCATTCCGGGGACTTCAACACCATGAATCACCGTGACTGTTACGCCCTGACACTCCAACGAAATCGTACAGAACATTACTCCTGGCACTTCAACCGTCAGAACCCTTGAAACTGCCGAAAAGTTGTCGGATCAATGCGCGCGGCGCTTACGCGAGAACCACACTTCGAAAAGTAACCACCCTCCACCAATTAAACTGATACAAGCTCTTAAATCGAATGCGCGCTGCGCTAAAGCGAGAGCCACAAATTGGAAACGGCCCGCCCTCCATCCGTGAAACTGCTGCAAACGTTGAGAACGGATGTGCGCGTTGCGACAGCGAGAGCCACATGTTGTAAACGAAACGCCCTCCATCCGTGAAACTATTGCAAGCGTCGAGCTTCAGGATCAGAAATCGTGAGGACGTCTCAAAAGAAATGCCCGGAAGCCCTACCGACACGCCTGGAGGTGCGACAGGGAGAAATTGTTCATAACGAAATGCGAAATGGGAGGAGGAGGAGGATGACAAGAAGGACGAGGAGCGAGGAGGAGAAGGAAAAAGGGAGGAGGAGGACAAAGAGGAGGGGGGAAGAGAGGGAGGGAGGGAGGAGGAAGGAAAGGAGAGGAGTGCAGAAGAGAGGAAAGGAGACGAAAGGAGACGAAAGGAGAGGAGGGGGACCAGGAGGGGGACGGGGACGGGAACGGGGATGGACGGGGAAAGCCACCCTTCCCTCCCTCGCCCTATCCACGTCGCCCTCAGCCTGTGGAGCTCCCTCAGCTATTTGTTTGACTCGTCTCCTCCCTCCATGTTTCCTTCCCTCTCCAACGCGTTATCTGTCTCTCTCTCTCTCTCTCTCTCTCTCTCTCTCTCTCTCTCTCTATATATATCCTGTTCTCTGTCTCTCTCTCTCTCTCTCTCTCTCTCCTCAGTCTGCCTTTCTCTCTCTCTCTCTCTATGTCTCCTCTCTCTCTCTCTCTTGTTCTCCTTTTTTCTCTCTGTCTCTGTCTCTTTCTCTCTCTCTCTCTCTCTCTTTCTCTCTCTCTCTCTCTCTCTCTCTCGATCGATATATATATATATATATATATATATGTCTATCTCAGTCTCTCTCTCCCTCTCTCTCTTTCTATCTCTCTCTCTCTATTTCTGTCTCCTCTCTCTCTTGTGTTGTCTCTCTCTCTCTATCTCTTTCTCTCTCTCTCTCTCTCTCTCCCTCTCCATCTCTCTCTCTCTCTCTCTCGTCTCGCTCTGTCTCTCTCTCTCTCTCTCTCTCTCCCTTTCTCTCTCCCTCTCTGTCTCCTCTCTCTCCTGTCTTCTCCCTCTATCTCTCTCTCTCTCTCTCTCTCCTTCTCTCTCTCTCTCTCGCTCTCATTCTCTCTCTATCATTCTCTCTGTCTCTCTTTATCCCTCTCTCTCTCTCTCTCTTTCTGTCTCCTCTCTCTGTCTCTCGTTCTCTGTTTCTCTCTCTCTCTCTCTCTCTATTCCTCTCTCTCTCTCTCTCTCCCGCTACATATATATACATACATACATACATACATACATAAGTATAAATAGTTTCTCGATGTCTCGAAAAAGTATGCACACATAAATTTGTGTATACAAACGGCCCAACCCCCCACCCACCCACCCACCCAGAACCCCCCAACGACGGACTGGTGATGGAGGGGCATCGTCCTCATTTTCTTCATAATCCTCATCTTCCTCCTCTCGTCATCATGGTTCCCTTGTCTGCTCATAGTATCGCTCCTCCTCCTCGCATTTTTCGTATTATTATTGTTGTTAGTGTTTTTCGTCTGCTTCTTATTACTATTACTCTTATCCTTCTTACTCAGATCATCACTCGTCTTATTATTATTAACAATAATGATACCATCATTATTATTCTTAATATTAATATAAATAGTATTCTTATGATCATTATTATTATATCATTATTATTATGCGTATTATTATTAGTATTATTATTCGCATTATTATCATTATTATTCTTACTATTAATATTACTCGTCGTCTTCTTGTTTTTCTTATGTTCATCACGATTATTACTACTATTAGCATTTGCCTCCTCCTCCTCCTCCTCCTCCTGCCCCTCCTCCTATGCCCCTCTCGCGGGGAAATGCAGCTTCGGGCTGAGGGTGTCGGTAGCGGTACCGTCGCTACTCATTGCAAGACGCGCTGCAGATCAACCCCCCTTCAACCCACTTGTCAAGGCTGCAAGGTGGAGGGCGCTTCGCCCCGCTCGGAGAGGAGGGGGCGGAAGAAGGAGGACGATGCGAGGAGGAAGATTTTGCAACGCGTCGTGAATCGTTATCTCTAGCGGCGTTCTGGGCCAAACCGCCCAGAAATGCCCGAAAAGGCCGGCAGACCGAAAAAGAAGCACAGGGCGCCCAAGAGCAGGACGCGCAGAGAGTACAACAAGGCACGGAACACAAGGCGCAAACAGGCGCGTTTGGACGGCAGGCGCAAAGAGTCCCTCCCCGACTTCCACGGGGTCTAAGAGGCAGAGCTCAAGGTGAAGGCTCTTCGGCGCCAGAATGCAACCCAAAGAACGAATCCAACGGGGCAGGGCTGTTTAATAAACGCGCAGGGCGGTTCAGTAAACGCAGATTGTCGGGTATGGGTGGTGCTTCTTCCCTTGATTCCGCCTTTGCAATTTAATTCGGCGAGGGTGGTGATGCGTTGCAGGTGTTTGGGCGCGCTGTTGGTCTTCCAGCGTTCGCCAGGGGCTAGAGCTGGAGCGCGGCGGCCGCGCCCACGAGGGATTCACGCGCTGCCTCGGCGCGCCACAAGGCGCGCCACAGGAGAGGAAGCCCAACAGACACCTGAAGAAAAAGAACCAAGAACCCCAGCGACAGAAGCGGGTGGTGGAGGCCGAGCTGGCGACAACCGAGAAGAAGAAGAAGAAGGTTTGGAGGACGACAAAACAAAAGACCCCTTGCCCCCGCATCAGCCAACAAAGAAGGCGAAGGGGCTCATGGTGGGATGCGGAAGTCCGCGTTCACCCGTGGACGCCGAGGAGCAGAAGGCGATCTTCGCCTCCACCGTCGCTTCAGCCCACTGGGAAACCATCGTCGACGACGACGACGACGGCGGCCTGGAAGCCGAACTCGGGCGTCTGATTGGACAGGGCGCCCAAACCTCGGGGTCGGCGGCGGCGTCCCCCGACGAGTCCGACTGAGCGAGCGGCCGCGCCCTGCGGGCGTGCACTGAGCGCGACGCAGTCGGCGCCGAGGGCCGTTGGCGCGATGCGAGAGCGCTCACGTATGAATACGCATGTGCTGTAAGTCCTCTTGCCCGCCAAACAGTCGATGCCGACCTCCCGCCCGGGGGGCTTACGCGATGAGGCAGAAAGCCTTCAGAAAAAATATCATAACAAGAACTGCGACAAACTGGGTTGCAATCGATGGGCGCGCTGCCTCTACACCCCAGAAGGGGGATGATGAGGAGAACGAGGAGGAGGACATGAGTGAGGAGGATGAAGGGGAGCTACATAATAAGATGGCCACGACGATGATAATAATGATAATGGTGATGGTGATGATGATGATGGTGGTGGCGGTGGTGATGATGATGATGATGATGATGATGATGATAATAGCAAAGAGGAGGAGCAAGAGGAGGAGAAGGAGGAGGGGAAGGGTACGAGAAGGAGGAGAAGGAGGAGGAGGAGGAGGAGGAGGATTGACTCATCAAGGACCCTCCCTCCCCCTCCCCCCCTCCTCAGGGACGGACGAGGGAGGAGAGGGGAGGGAGCATGATGAAGGAAGGAAGTAAGGCGAGGAGGAGGAGAAGGTGGAGGAGTGACTCATCAAAGGCCCCCTTCCCCCTCCCCAGGGAGGGAGGAGGAAAATAGGGGAGAATGCAGGAGGGGGGAAGGAAGGCCGAACGAAATCGCAAACAGCGAAAACGCTTGAGAAAGCCAACACAAATGATTCCGACGGTAACACCCCACATGAGAATATTTCTAAATTACCCTAAGCACTTCCCCCGTCGCCCTTGCGGACATCCTCCTCTCGCCCTGCGTTCGGCTCTCTCCTCCTCCTCCTCCTCCTCCTCCTCCTCCTTCCCTCTCCTCTCTCCTCCTCCTCCTCCTCTCCTCCTCCTCCTTCCTCCTCCTCCTCCTCCTCTCCTCCTACGCCCTCCTCCTCCTCCTCCTCCTCCTCCTCCTCCTCCTCCTCCTCCTCCCTCCTCCTCCCTCCCTCCTCCTCCTCCTCCTCCCCCTCCTCCTCCTCCTCCTCCTGCT